TTCAGCTGAATCTTGGGTTAGTTCTGGTTTAGACCTGGTTTAGTTCCAGATTTAGTCCTGGTTTAGTTCCAGATTTAGCCCTTGTTTATTTCCAGATTTAGTCCTTGTTTGTTCTTGGTTTAGTTCTAGATTTAGTCCTGGTTTAGTTCCAGATTTAGTCCTTGTTTAGTCTTGGTTTAGTCCTGGTTTAATTCTAGGTTTAGTCCTGGGTTAGTACTAGTTTAGTTCCAGATTTAGTCCTAGTCTAGTCTTGGTGTAGTTTCAGTTGAATCTTGGTTTAGTCCTGGTTTAGTTCCAGATTTATTCTTGGTCCTGGTTTAGACCTGGTTTAGTTTCATTTGAATCTTGGTTTAGTCCTGGTTTAGTTCCAGATTTATTCTTGGTCCTGGTTTAGACCTGGTTTAGTTTCAGCTGAATCTTGGTTTAGTCCTGGTTTAGTCCCAGATTTATTCTTGGTTTAGTTCCAGATTTATTCTTGGTTTAGTCCTGGTTTAGTTCCAGATTCATTCTTGGCTTAGTCCTGGTTTAGACCTGGTTTAGTTCCAGATTTAGTCCTGGTTTAGTTCCAGTTTTAGTCCTTGTTTAGTCACATTTTTGACGTGGTGTGTGAACGATATCTACTTTAGCACTGACAAAGCTCCAGTCGACACAGCTGGAGGAAGTGTCTCGGGAGCGGGAGTGTTGGAGGAGTTGTCTGGGGAGGGGGAAGCGTCAGATTCAAGATGGCGGCTGTGTGTTTTGTTCCAGTGGGGGCAAGGTCGAGGAGAGAGTGGCCTTTAGCGTGGCAAGAATGACCAATGACTATCCAGCCAGAAGCAGCCTCATCAAATTCACCAAGATCATCACCAACATAAACGACGTCTACAACACCCAGACCGGACGCTTCAGGTGAGACCAGACCCAAGTCCTGCCTCAGTCCTGCCTCAGTCCTGGTTTAGTCCTGGTTTAGTCCTGGTTTAGTCCTGGTTCAATCCTGGTTTGTCTGGTCTAGTCCAGGTTCAGGTCCTTATCAGTGCTGTGCTGGTTTAAATTATACCCTGGTTTGTTTTTGTCTTGGTCTAGTCTGGATTTATTTCTGTTTAGTCCTGGTTTAGTTCTGGTTTAGTTCTGGTTTAGTCCTGGTTTAGTGCTGGTTTAAATGTTTTGATTTTATACTGGTCCAGTCCAGATTTAGCCCTACTTCAGTCCTGATCTAGTCCTGGTTTAGTGCTGGTTTAGTCTAGTCCAGGTTTAGTCATAGTTTAATCCTGGTTCAGTCCAGCTTCAGACCTGGTTTAGTCCTGTTTTAGTCCTGCTTTAGAGTCAGTTCAGTCCTGATTTAGTCCTGGTTCAGTCCTGGTTTAACCCTGCTTCAGCCCTGCTCAGTCCTGTTTCAGTCTTGTTTTAGTCCTGTTTTAATCCTGGTTCAGTCCTGTTTTAGCCCTGCTTCAGTCCTGCTTCAGTCCCGTTTCAGTCATGTTTCAGTCCCGTTTAAGTCCTTGTTTTAGTCCTGTTTCAGTCCTGTTTTAGTCCTGATTTAGTCCTGGTACAGTTCTGTTTTAGTGCTGTTTCAGTCCCGTTTCAGCCCTGTTTCAGTCCTGTTTTAGTCCTGTTTTAGTGCTGTTTTAGTCCTGTTTCAGTCCTGTTTCAGTCCTGTTTTAAGTCCTCGTTTTAGTCCTGTTTCAGTCCTGTTTCAGTCCTGTTTCAGTCCTGTTTTAGTCCTGTTTCAGTCCCGTTTCAGTCTCGTTTCAGTCATGTTTCAGTCATGTTTAAGTCCTGTTTTAGTCCTGTTTCAGTCCTGGTTTTCCTGCCTCTCCAGATGCACAATCCCTGGCACATATTACTTTGTGTACCACGCCTCGTTGGACGCCAGTCTGTGTGTGAAAATGAAGCTCGATGACACTCTTTTGGCTTCGTTTTGTGACCATCGGCGCAAACGAAAACAGGTACAAAAACTGGACCTAAAATCCAACCAGGGCTGTTTTCTTGCTGCCTTCTGGTTAGCCCCTCCTCTTTCTGTCTTTTGACTGGTTGTATGTTGCTTGATTGTAGATGACTTTCCTTTTGAGTAGTCCCTCCTTTTTTTTTGCTACCTTCTTTTTGATTTCTCTCTGCCCTCTGATGGGTCCTTTTGTTTCTCTTCACTGGAAAAAAAGAATATCTAGGTAAGTTAAAATGACTTAAATTATGCTAATGGAATAAGTGTGTTTTTCTTTATTCAAGCAACATTCAATTTTGTTTCTTATTTTAAGAGTAACAAGATGTATTTTCATATTTTAAGTACAAAATGTCTTGTTCCACTGGCAGATCATTTTACTTGTCAAGTGAAATTTTCTCAAATCATGATAAAACTTTCTTACCCTGCGTTTGATTAACCTTCCAAACGAGTTTTCCTAGGAAGTTATTTAGCGCCCCTTTTCCTGGAACGGTGCGACTTTGGTGGCGGAAAAAGTAGACCGAGCAAGGATCCAAGACGGTTACTAAGCCCACTGTGACGTGTAAATATGAAGTGTTTTCATTGTGTTTGGACACTTTGGTGGTTTAAATGACAATGTCAGTCACTCGTATTACTGCAGTACCTGACCGTGTCCGTGACACTGTCTGTGAGTTTGGTAGTCGGTGGTGTGGTGAGGCCAATATTGAACAAATACTTGATTTAATGTCCCTAAGGTTGTAACAGAAGAGAAATGATAACATAAAATGAAGTGCAAATTAAAAAAATTTAATTAATTAAAGTGGCAGATTTTCTTAAAATGAGGGAATAGTCATAATCATAATCCATCTAGTCCGACATGCCAAACAGAATGATACGGTTCAAGCTCAGACGTGACGTCAAATTACAGGTCCAAGTGGGAGTCGGAAGATAATCGAACGCAAGGTTAATTGAAGTCATCTTAACTTGGCTAGATTTTGTTTTTTGCAGTGTTTGCCCTCTGATTGGCGGCTTTTGTTCCTATCCTTCCTTCTGATTGGTTGTTGGTTGCTTGTCTGACTTTTGGTGACTTTCCTTTTGAACAGTCACTCTGCCTTCTGACTGGTCCTTCTTCTTTCTCTCTGCCCTCTGACTGGCGACTTTTGTTCCTGTCTTTCCTTCTTATTGGCTGTTGCTTGTTTGTCTGTAGGTGACTTCTGGAGGCCTGGCGGTGTACGTGTCCAAAGACCAGGAGGTTTTTCTGGAGACGTCAGACTACAGAAGCATGAGAGCAAACCCATCTGGATACAGCATCTTCTCTGGGTTCTTACTGCAGGCCCACTGAACCCTGTAGCACACACAATACAGTATACTGCCTTATTTTTTACCAGCCAATACAAATATTACAAATATATCTGTTTAATATGTTGCGCTCATTTGGCATCACAAAACTCTGGAACCCCTATAGTTTACCTTGGAGGGCACAATGATATGGTGGAATTTGCTGTTTAAAGTGCATATGACAGGTTAGACCGCTCATTTCACTATTTCTATTTTGGTGAAGCTTATTCTTTTATTTCCTGGTTGAACCATTGACTGTATATATAAACGTAGGGTGACCAGACGTTCCCATTTACCCGGGACAGTCCCAGTTTTGATCCCTGTGTCCCCTGTTCCAGCAGATTTATCCAAAATCAGTGATTTATTCCAGTTTTATACAAGAAATGCCCCAAGTGACTTTGGTGACTGACCAAGAGTCTGTGGGTTGGACACTGACAGAACATGTGACACAGTATGTAGAGGTAATTCTATAACTGTTACCTAAGCAACCACAATGCTAACAAGCACCAAAACTAAAATGTAGTTTAGTTTATTTATTTAATGAGACAGGGACAATCTACATTCACCTTAACAGGAGAGATGCTTTGTACCAAGCTGTAGCACCAGTGCTCATTTCCACGTGTCGTCCCTGAGCCGGTTGATCTTATAGTTCATAAAATCAAACATACAAAGGGAATATTTATAATATCCAAAGCATCGTAATAATTTTGTATCATCATTCACATCCAGTTCTCTCAGCATCTTAAAATCATCATCTTTATCAAAATCATCATTCAGTTCATTCACTCCAGAAAATCACACTCATCAGTCCACATTATGGGTGCAGGTTTGGTTTGAAAGGAGACACTGTTTCACCAGCAGTGTTGAGAGTAACACGTTATAAAAGTAATAAATTACTGTAATGCATTGGTTTTTACTGGAACACAGTAATGTAAGGCATTAGAGGGAAAAAAATGTCATATTTTATATTTTTAAATGTGAGCAACGCACATTATGCATTTTTAACCTGGATTGAACTGGTGGGATTTTTCTTTTTTCTTCATACAAATTCGCTAAAATCACTGTGATATCAGCAGCGGTGAAACGCCAAAATTAAAGTTCTGAATGTCGAGCCGTCCCAGAGGTGCACCCGCGGAGACCATCGGGTAACTGTGGCTGAAAGGACCGATGCAAAACTCCACGCTCTACGGGGCTAAACGCAGCTGACGCCTGATCGCGCTTTGTGGACACTCTGCTCCGCGGGCTCAGGGTTCTCTCTCGGGGGTTCTCGGGATTCCAAGTCCTAGTCCAAGATTAGTCCTGGTTTAGTCCTGGTTTAGACCTGGTTTAGACCTGGTTTAGTCCTGGTTTGGTCCTAGTTTAGTCCTGGTTTAGACCTGGTTTAGACCTGGTTTAACTCGGGTTTAGACCTGGTTTAGACCTGGTTTAGACCTGGTTTAGACCTGGTTTAGTCCTGGTTTAGACCTGGTTTAGTCCTGGTTTAGACCTGGTTTAGTCCTAGTTCAGTCCTCCTGGTTCAGTCCTGGTTTAGTCTTGGTTCAGTTCATATACGGCACAAAAGATCAGCATCTTTGCAGTTATTTTGGTGAGAGTAACTTAAAAGTGCTGCAATAGTTGTGTAATGTTTTACATTTTAAATACAGTATTACAATATTGTAATGTAACAAATGACTTTGAAATGACAGTAACAAGTCATAAATAACACATTACAGTTTTAAAGTAACTTACCAGGCGTCTGCCAGGCATGAAAAAGTGCCATAGTTTGTCTACATGTCATCGACACAGATAAATATAAATTACAACACCTTTATTTGGTTAAATTGGTGTTTTATCTGTCAGAAAAAAATGCCTTTCTTTTCTTGGATGGAATTTCCAGTGTTGATGACAAAGGTGGAGGGATTCTCTTATAGAACTTAGCGCTGCTTCCTGATTTTCTTTTACATTTCTCTTTAATTTTTTCCCTCAAACTGCCACCTGCCTGATGCTAAACTATGATACAAATAATAACATGAAAACCTGTCATATGCACTTTATTTGTCAGATTGCAGATTTGTTGCCCTGGTTTAGGGTTAATATTTCTGTAAAAACTGTGTCTGTCCCATAAACTGTGTAAAGAAATGGACTAAAGGAGTGTCACCCATAGTGTTCAGCTCCAGTCAAATGAAGTCACAAGTCCTAAAATGAATATGGCAAATGTGTGAAGCCAGTCCCAAACATTACAGGTCCCCACCCTCCATCTGAAATTACAACATCATGAAATTCTACGAAAACATGTCGCAACCAAATTACTGCTGAGCTCCATAATGTGGTTTCTTCATCTAAAAATGTGCCACTAAAATAAGTTTTTTTTTTATACACACGCATGTTCGAGTTAATTTGCTTCTTCAGCCTGCTTTTTTCTTCTGGGCTTAAAACACTTGGTCCCACTTATGACATCATTAAGTGAACATCCAAAAAGTGTGCTTTGAACTTTTGAACTCCATTCACGTTCATCTCCTCAACCAAGATCCATCTCTTTGAAGCAAACAGCAGCTATTGTATTTAGCCTAATTTGAACTGTTTCACTTGTTTCTATATGTATGAAAACTAAAGCCAGTGTCCAATTTGTCACTTGTTGCAACTTATTAAAAATCAAATCAAATCAAATACACAATCAAGACATTCTTTTTGACTGACTTTTTTAAATTTTGAGGAATATTTATTAATATTTTTAAGTAAGTGTACCATTATTTTAAAATAATGTTACTCAAGTAGTAAAAGTACTCCCAATAGATTTAATCAGTGGGGGAAAGTAATGAAGTAAAAGTAGTAAAGTAATGTAATTAAGTCAATGTTTTAGATATTTGTACTTTTCTTAAATTAAAATTCTTCATGTAAAGCATCTTTGAGTATCTTGAAAAGCGCTATACAAGTGTTATGTATTATTAATATTATAATTAAAGGTGCATTGTGTAACTTTTCTGGTGGAGGGTTCATCATCTGGTTATTTCTGTGGATACGTCATTGCTCTGCCTGGAATGTTCCACAGTATGACATTAAACATTTATGCAATCACAGGTGGATTTAGAGCTCAAAAATACAGAGAAAAACAGGCATTCTGACTGTGAGTAGGGTCGCCTCTCCACAGATCTGACCTGTCACTTGTTCTGGTTTTGCTTCCATGAAGAAAGAGAGATTTAATGCCATACTGTGAAACATTCCAGACAAAGCAACAACGTCTCCATGGAGAAAAGCATTTGACGGACCCTCCACCAGAAAAGTTACACCTGTAAGTGAATTCTAAAGTGGATACTTTTTACTTTTACTTCATTACATCTGAGAGCATGTATCTGTACTTTTATTCTCCTCTACATTTTAAATCTGGACTGAAAAGAAGAAATGTTTTTTTTAATTCTTATTTGAGATCTGCTGAAATGGCTGAAGGCTCGTCTTTAACACGTTCATATTTTGAGCAAACAAAAATATACAAATAAAAACAGCTAGAATAAAAAAGATCTCAATTCTTTCTGTTGAACAAAACTGTAGCTTTATTAGACCTCAAAATCTGTGCGAAATACTTTTAGTTTTACTCTTTATGCACATTTTTAAACAGGTACTTTAATGCTTTTATATGTATATTATGTAATTTATATTTCATGTGATACTTTCACTTTGACTTGAATATCGTTTTAGCTCCAGTATCTGTACTTTTAGTTAAATAACAAAACTGAGTACTTCTTCCACCACTTAATTTCTTACAGTCAGATATTGGGGGTGGTGAAGAGGAGAGATAGTGAAGCATGAGGTGGCTGATGATTCTGCTGCTGTGGTGTAAATCTTGTTTTGTATTTTATTTTTGCACGCTTTATTGTCCTTGCATTTGACCCATAATGCTGGGCGATCACAGTACTTCTTTCTGACTTTTGGTGGATTTGTTTCCTAAGATTTTGAGAAAGTCATTTATAGTCTCTTAAGAAATAATACAATTCTCAGAAGTTGGTTTGACAGTTTCTTTGCTTGATGGATGACCCCAAAAGAAGAACAGATACTGACCTTTCTGCATGAGTGTCAAACTGTTTGGAGGAAGTCAGAAGAAAAAACTGAAGAAATATATAATTTATTCAACACAGATTTACCAAATCATCATTTTATCCACTTGTTTCACTTCTCTGAAAAACTGGTACAAAAAACACAGTGCAGAACTTGAACTTTTGCATCCCCTTTTGGCTTAAAGGTGCATTGTGTAACTTTTCTGGTGGAGGGTCCCTCAAATGCTTTTCTCCATGGAGATGTTAATGCTTTGTCTATGGTCTTTTGTATAGTCATGGAGACCAAACCAGACCAAGTTACAGGTCACATCTGTGGAGAGGCGATCCCGCTCACAGTCAAAATGCCTGTTTTTCAAAGTACTTTTGAGCTACAACACCACCTATAACTGAAAAAATGTAAGGTAGAGCTGTTTAATGTCACACTGTGGAACATTCCAGGCAGAGTAATGACATATCCATAGAAACAAGCAGGTGATGGACCCTCCAACCAAATAGTGCACATTTAAGATTGATTGAACAAATCAAATGGACTACAGCAGAGCTGCTCTAAATGTTGGAAATTGTGGGATGAGAAGGACTTTGTCTTTTTCTATGAAAATTAAAGGTGCACTATGGAACATCTCTGGAGGAGGGTCCGCCACCTGCTTTTCTCCATCAAGATGATACTGCTTTGGTTAAATTCTTCCACAGTATGATGTTAAACTTTTGTATCACCATGGAGATAAGCAAATCACCCTAAGTTACAGATCAGATCAGTGTAGAAGCAGCATGCAGTAAAAAAAGAAAGATTGATTGATCAATTTAATTCTGTGGAATATTCCTGACAAAGCAATAACATCAAACAGGTTGCAGCCGCCCACCAGAAAAGTTACATAATGCTTAAAGGGTAAGTAACACTCAACACTTTCAGCGTATGGGAGACTTGCAAAAACAACTTTCACACCAAGCACCACCTAAGGAAACATTGGGCTTTCCGAGTTCCGAGATCTAAACCTGGTCTAAATCAGGACTAATTCAGGCCTGAAATGATGCTAACATGGCTGGATAAATGATGTGTAAAACATCGACTGTATAAATGACACAGTCTATGCCATAGACTGTATCATTTATACAGTAGTTTACACCATAGACTCTATGGTGAAAACTACACAGCTACAGCACCAATAACAAAGCAACTACCAAACCAAGGACCAAAAAGTGAATCTTTTACTCTAAATAAAAAGTGCACTGTGTAACTTGTTTGGTGGAGGGTCTGTCACCTGCTTGTCTCCATGGAGATGTGGCTAGAATGTTCCACAGTACCGACATAAACCTATGAACCCCCATGGAGACTTGCGAGCCAAATTACAGGTTAGATTTGTGGAGATGTATTTTAAGAGATTTTTGAGCAATAAATAACACCTGTAGTTGAATAAATACAAGATGGATTTGTTCAATACCATAATGTGGACAATTTAAATTAAAGCATTAACACTCCACAATTCCAGAAAAGTTACACAGTGCACCTTAAGGCAAATATTAATCTCTGTCTCTCGTAGTACCAGCATTTATATTTGTTTAGTAGTATGTAAAACTGAACTGAAGCTGTAATTGATCGCCACATTACTGTCTCCTCTTGAGCTGTGTGTGTGTCCAAATAGTTTCACTTCTCTTTCTGCATCAGTTCTGTAAAACACTGTCTTTATTTCAGGAGACAACACAAGAGCTGGGAGGAATGGTGAGATAATTTAATTTTTAGTATGCAGTCAGCCTTTTTATTGCTGTGTTTTGTGTTGTGGTTTTTTTGTTTGTTATGTGATAATGTATTTAATGTTTAACTGTGTAAATTTCAACTTTCTGCTGGATTCAAAACCGTTCTGAAAGGTTTTTGTTCCACACTCGTCTTTTAAGGTTCATTTGAGGAGGATTATATGGCTTATTCTGTAAAGCACTTACAACGCCATCTCCTTGTTTTTGTGTTGCCTGAAATGTTCCACTACAGCTTTAACTTAGCCAGGTCAGATCTGTGGAGGGGCCACTCCGCTCACAGGCAGAATGCAAGTTTTTCAATGTATTTCAGAGCAATAAAAACATTTGTACATGGAAAACTGAGAGACTGGTTGAACCTTCCTATATCAAAGAGCGTAAAAAACACATTTAACACAGATAATTATTTTTCACGATACCCATAATTCAGATGTAGCTGTGTGGGTTTCCTTTGCACTCCCGTATAAAGTATGTAAACTCTAGAGAATTTTACGGGCAATGTTTTGTGGGTGTGTGTGTCTACATAGTCTAAACAGGTGTAAAATTATGGGGATACCGGAAGGTTAAAGCTGTACCGTGGAACAAAAGTTACAAAGTTAGTGCACCTTTAAATTGAACTGACACATACTGTATCGTACTCTCAACCAGTTTGTCAGTCCAGATTTTGACCATGCTACATCTTAAATGAAACATCCTTGTAAGTAAATTCTTCTTTTTTTGGGCATGTGTTTACAGTTACGTAATCAGAGTACAAATTATGAGTAACTGTATTCAGTTACAGTTACTGTTTCAGTGAGTGGTAATTGGATTACAGTTACTTTGTTGAAATAAATGGATTACATGGTGGTATTTTCCTATTTTCACATTTGGGGCTATATCCCCCCTTTTTTTTTTTTCTTGGTAATTCCACTCATTGCCGGATACTAAAGCAGGTCTAAACTAGGTCTAAACCATGTCTAAACCAGGTCTAAATAAGGACTAAACCAGGTCTAAA